GCGGTAGTCGATGCAGAGACGAAGAGTTCCATCCGCTTTGCGAGCAAAGAGGACGGGTGCACCCCACGGGGAGTTGCTGGGTTTAATGAAACCCAGTCTCAGGAGCTCCTCAAGCTGACGCTCGAGTTCGGTGGCCTCGGGGATCGAGAGTCTGTAGGGTGCCTGGTGGTGAACACGATAGTCAGGCACGAGCTGAATGGAGTGCTCGACGTCACGCATCAGTGGGATGCCGGCGTACGAGAACGACGATGGAAAAACGTCATGGTACTCTCGGATGAGGTCACGAACTGCGGGCTCCAAGTCAGCCGTATATCGTGCGAGTTCCTCGGCGTCAGCGTCAGCGCGCGACGGCGGGGTGGACTCGACGGACGGCGGAGGGACGGAAGTAGAGATGGGAGCCATGGAGATAGAGGGAGGATCTGGCTCCATAGGGATGAGCTCGGCGTCGGGACAGGGTGGATCATAGTGTAAGAGATCCGTCACGTCCACCATAAAGAAGGTGACGTCGTCCTGTCGAATGAAGTGAGCGAACTGCCGAGGCGAGGTGACAGTGATAGAGGGAGATGGTGTGGGCACTGAAGGCTCCAGGGGAGGAGGATCGGGGCGTGGTGTCGCCGTGGTACCTATGAAAGGTACGCGATACGTCTGTCCACACTTCGTTTTGAGAACGAGAATGTTGGTCACCCAATCGGCCTTGGTGCTGCGGAACCGACGAGACCACAGAGTGCCGAGAATGAAGTCGTACCCCGTCTCCATCACATCGAAATGTGCAGAGGAGCGGTGGCGACGAGACGCCGRGGAACGCTCAGTCGGCTCGAGGGAGGTCGGTGACCGTCTGATCGAAGAAGCGCTGAGTCTTGTCATCCCCTAGGGTAACAGAGATGGGAGTCGGAGACCCTGTCGTGGGTAAGCGGGCTTCCTTCACCACTCGTGGGTGAATGAAGTCGCCTTGAGAACCGGAATCCCACAGCGCTGAGTACACCCTCGTGGAGGTCCCAGTTGTACGGGGATGATCGGGAGGGTGCGATCAGGGTCAGAGAGGATGGCGAAGGCGACGCAATGCAGCGACATGGAGGGTGAGTCGCTCCTGACGAGCCTGGAGCATGCTCAAGTCCAGAAGAGAGGACACAACATCCTCGCGAGTAGCAAACTGCTCGCTGCAACGGGCTGAGCGAATGGCTCGACGCGTCGGTAGTCGCGGCGGGGGAGGAAGGGAGACGGTGGTCTGCGGAGGCGCAGACGGTACGGCGACAGAGGGCTGAGTACACTCTGTTGAGTCCTGCAATACCTCAACTCTAGTAGCGAGAGGGGCGAACCGCGACGGAGATGTCGGGAAACCCACTACTGAGGAGGGCGCAGGTGTACACTGCACCGTGGCTAGGATGCGTCGCGGGGACGTGAGGCGCCGGGGTGGGACTGAGCACGACGCTGACGAGAAAGGTCAGTGTAGTGGCGGTCGAGGGCGGTAGTGTAAGGGCACCGCGACGAGGTATGACCGTCCAAGCGGCAGCGCAAACACCCACGCCGGCCCAGAATAGCCACGCGCTCCTCAGGGGAAAGGACACCACGAGGAGGGACGAAGCCCTGAGGGAGGTCCTCCTGAGGGACCTCGGGGGGAGATGCGCCAGCGTGACCTGGGCGGCTGCGTGCCCGAGAGAGGGCAGAGAGCGCGAGTAGAAGGCGCTCAGCTGCAGGGAGGGTAGAGTCCTCCAAGTGATAGTAGACGGCCTCGCAGAGATCGAGGTCGTCGCTGTGGTCGCCCTCAGATGACAGTGGGGCAACAGCGTCCTGCTCACCATACTCCAGCGCACTGAAGTGGCGCGAGAAGTGGCGGCCCTGCTGCGTGGAACGACGGGGGCGACCGCGGAAAGGGGAACGGCGCTGGGAAGTGTCGTGAGAGGAGGAGGAGACGTAGCCCGTGCGCTGGGGCTGGGAGGAGGAGGCGGGGTGAAGACGGGCTCGCATCCGCTGGTGGTCCCTGGCGGCCTTGTAAGCCTGTGGGGCCGATGTGAACTCGTACCGCCATAGCTCGGAGCGGTACTCGAGCGGAAGGCTGGCCAAGAAACGATCGATAAGGGCAGCCTCGGGGAGGAACGCCACGTCGCAAACGAGGCNAGAGAGAGAGAGAGAGAGAGAGAGAGAGAGAGAGGAAGGTATCATGGGGAGAATGGGCATGAGAAGTGAGACACTGCGAAGCGCCCAACCCCCGTGGTGCAGGGAGAACAGTCGGAACAGGACGGACATTGCAGAACGAAGAATACATGGTTGCAACTTGCAAGCGGATGAAGAATTCAATGGCAGATATAAGACGGGGATATCTGTTAGATGGAACCCGTTCAACTTGAAGGTTCCAGACCTTCTAGTTTTGATTCACCTAGGAAGAGCTTGCCATATCTGGGGAAGAGAGAAATAGATAGATTTCAAAAGATATGAGGGACGCTGGACCTGCTTTCCAGCACAACAGAACTGACACTTTGGGTTCTCTTCTAGATTGGGGGGGGGAAAAAAAAAAAAAAAAAAAAGAAGTTTATTTTGGCTGGTTCCCTGTTTTTCTGTTTCTTTTTTAATTAAAAAAATTTTATTCTTAAAAAAAAGAATAATGAAACAATTATGGGGGGTGTACCCTCCGATGACCCCCACCCTCCTACAAAAAAAAAAAAAAGCCCAAAAAAAAAAAAAACCGTTCATTCACACACCCCGTGAACGATGAAGGGTTACATCACTGGTGTGCAGTTGTTTCCGCGTTCACAGGCACAGTTGTCTCCAAAAAATAAAATAAAGGGTGCTAAATGAGGAACAAAAAAAAAAATAAAAAAATAAAAGGGTGGCAAATGAGGAAAAACTTCCGAAAAAGGGGATTTTTTTTTATTTTTATTTTTTAACGAGCGATATTATATTCCAAACAAACAATCCTTGAGTCCGAAAAAGGGGAATTTAAGTAAAGGGGACAAAAAAAATAAAACAAAAAAAAAACTTCAGCAAAAATAAAGAAAGGCAAAAAGGGACAAGAGGTAGAAAACAGTTAAAAAAGGGCAAAAAAGGGAGAAAAGGAGGAGGGGAGGGGGGGGGGGGGGAAGAAGGAGAAAAGGGGGAAAATGCTAGGCTGTGTTTACAGGCGCCTGGGCACCCAACTTGTGCCCGGATACATTCCCAGCAGCCCAGCTGCCTGAGCTTGGCCGGGCATGAACCCCGGGCAGGGCTCCTGGCAGCCCCAGGGGTCTGCTCCCACCTACGGTTGTCGAGTTCAGAAAACTCAACGGTGTGACGCCATTTCGACATTAAAATATTCGAAACAAGAAATAAAAAAACTGAAAAAAATGCTAGAAACAGCTTTTCTCCTTATTTTTTATAACGTAACTCCGAGAAATGAAACATGTCTGGAACAGTCGGAGTGAACGTCTCCATGAAAAAAGGATGCTCCCCGTGGTGAGGGGACAGGAGGTCACCATTTGTGAAATGGACAGGGACGCCGTGGATGGCCAAATGCATTCATTGCCCAAAGAAGGAAACGAGTTTGATGCCAGACAGCCAAACACAGCTGTCAGAGTTCCTCCGTTTCAGGATGCAATGAGCACTAAAAAAACAAAAAAAAGGAAAGGTACTGAAGTTGAGAAACGTACCCTACCCTCGGTAGGGTAGTTTTCTCAACGGAAAATGGCTTCCCGCCCAAACCAAAAGGGCCAACGCATACTACAAAACGGATTTCACGTCAAAAAAAAAATTCTACAAAGTGACTAAATCTAATAGGTTATTCTCCTGTATTTTGGTACCGTTAGATTCGCAATACATCAACGGCAGAGCTCCGTCCCACCATGCCACACGTGATAGAAAGGTCAGCGTTGAGAAAACTCAACGCTGGAGGTGGGACTAGACCCCAGAGGATACAAAAAAAACAAAAAAAAACTTTGGCTGAGGGTTACATCACGGCGGTGAGAATTTTGCTATGGTTGGGGTTATGCCTGGCCGGTGAGCCAGGCTTATCCCTGTGGGCCGTAGGCTCATAGCTATTCATGTGAGGGACCCTGGGCCCAAATCCCAGCTTGTAATGGAAAGACTGGACCTTTTTGGTGGAAAAAAAAAAAAAAAGATAAAAAGGCCAACAAGTTGAAACAACACACTGTCAGTCAGACTAAGGCACCCTGTTAGACCCTTAAAAACCAATTTATACTCCCCTCCCCCACCCCCCCCTTTACAGGGAACACGAAAAAAGAAAGGAGCCTAGGCTGCTTGCCCATGCTGCACGACTGGGGGAGCCAAGTAGCCTAGGGGAAATGGGAAAAGAAGGGAAAGGAGGGAAGAAGGGAAACAAATAAGAGGAGTGCAAGAGTTCATCACCTTCCTCCTGTCCTTCAGTAAAGCTTCGACTGTGGCCGCAGGGACAAGTGTGGTCCCTGTGCTTTTTGAAATAATCCACAAGGAAGGAAGATGGAAAGAAAAAGAACGATGGTGCACAACATATCATGATCATGCTCAGCTGTTGTGGTGGCCATGGCAGCAGAAATCTATGCGTGATAGCGTAGAAAACTGTTAATAGAGGGAACTACTAATTACTAACTACTTAGTCATTTCATAAGATCAATCATTTCAGCAAAACGGCAGCGAAAAATAAGTCATTCCAGAATGAAAATTGTGAAATAGATAACAAACTCCCATCATGATGGTGTAGATTCTGCTCTTCGGCCTTTCCGACAAAAAAACAATTCCTGAAACGATTGAGCATATTTTCTTACAATGTCCAGGAGCTATCTTTCTATCTTTCTATCTTTCTATCTTTCTTTTTTTTTCTTTTTTTTTCTTTTTTTTTTCTTTTTCTTTTTTTTTTTCTTTTTCTTTTTTTTAACATAAAAACAGCTCCATCTATTGGTGGGGAGCATCACCTGCTGGAACATGTCCAGGAGCTATCTGGTTATGGAGATGGTGGGAATGAATTTGGAGACAGCTAAGTCCTCCATACCAATGGCCCTGGAAATTTCTGGAATTGGAAGGCAATCTTACTAGAATCTTGGATTCCAGATCCTTATAATGAATTCACTCACAATTTATTTATAGTAGGAAGAAGAGCAGTGTTATGGGCCAATTTGAAATGGAAGGGGCAAGGTTAGATGGTCATGAATTCATTGATTCAATTAAAAAGCAAATTCAAACAGAAGTCAGAATGAAATGGGAACTTACAAAAGAAAAAATCCAACACTTACATTGAATTTTTCTCAGAATGAATTCAATGAAATTAGGAAACACATTCAGGAATTTAGCCACTGCTGCCTTGGGGAAGCCCACAGGGAAATTTTGGGACAGGTCAAATGGAATAGGGCTGAGAGAGAAGAGACTGAAGAGGTGTGCAGGGACTACCACCTGATTTTCAGAGACTGGGTTACGATTGATCCAAATATATCTTTAACACCCTTGTCGCATTTTTTTCCGGATCCTTTTTCCTCCACATGGAAGAAGTATAGTCCCAATATCATGGTATGGATATGAGTGAATTTAAAATTTAGGTCTAGACATCATATTATGCATGGTGAGAAAGGATGTTCAAAATGTCTAGCTGAATTAGGCGCCCTATTCAAAGGGTGAAGAGGCATTCCTATCGCCATGACCTTTCCTACCGCTCAGTCAATCCCCCAGGATAACTTGGGGTAATCAATCCTGATGGGTAGTTCTAATGATGGTGTACAAATGATTCTTATTTGTATTTGAGGGACGCTGGACCCGGTTTCCAGCAGGTGCAGCTCCCCACCAATGGATGGAGTGA